GTTTAGTTGAAGGTGTGAATGGATCTTGTTAAGAACACCCACACCCTCAATCTCTTCAACAAGTGCGTATTCATCATGAGCAACCCTATCGAGAAATTCTTCGTGAACAATATCAAAAACATAAACATCTACTTATTGCACCGATCATTTTTGTTCTTCTTGCTTTACTACGTTTAATTCTGACATTTCTCTCGAAATATATGGAATCATCGGATGAAGCGTGGTTGTATATAATCTTATGTTTTATTTCGTTTATTCCCACAATGTCAATATCTGAATATAAAATAACTATTCAACGACATTTACATCTGCAAAAACAAACTAAAAGCGTTTCTTCTATTGCTCTATTGAACAAACTTGAAGAACTTTGATTATCTAACAATCATTATCCATATCGTACTTTGACCATTGAAATGAAAACAAATGAGATGCAAAGAGGAATGATGACAATTTTTTTTGTCTGTCCTGATAAAGTAGTTAAATATTTGCGCAGAAGGAGAGAAAAAAACATGATGATTCATACGGGAGTGATCGTATAAAATGATGTTTTGATGTAAGTACGACATAAGTGAGTGAGAGACGCAGAAAAAAAAACAACCAGAAAAGTTTTTTCGATGGCTGTAAATTCTTACACAACGTTTTCCTGGAGCATTTTTGATTACGAAACAGAATCGACTTGTTCTCCCGCCGATGAATATTATCTTGATCAACTATTCTTTGGAGTTGAATCGCATGATTTATCGGCTATCAAGTTTTTTTCCAATGAACATTTACGACATCTATGTCGTATTCGTCGATTTTTCGATTCAGAATGGGCAGCACCGGCGAAAGAACAACAAACTGCCTATCAACGTGCTTGTTTACTTGGCTACACAGACATTGTACAATATATGTTGGAAGCAGGCGTTCGAGTTGATCAATTATTCTCATCTGCTAATACTTTGAATGTTGAAAGAGATGCATTTATGTTTGCTTGCCATTCGGGTTCATTGGCCACCGTTCACTTGCTGTTGCAAGCCCTATCACATGATTATATTGAACATTACAAATCGAGAAACAGACGTGCTCTATGCTCCACTTCTTTTGCAAGACAACACTTAATTCCAGCCAGAAGTGAAATTGAAGCACCATTTTCTGATGAAAATGGTCTCGAAGCTGTCTTTCCTATTCATTTTGCTATTGCTCGAAATGATTTGCAGTTGACACGTCAACTCGTTACAGGAGCGAATGGAGAACTAGAAACAATCAACGATTGGGAACCTCTTCGACATGGAGGCTTTACTCCTTTGCAAATTGCTTGTTTGTTCAGTCGGTCTCTAGATATGATCAAATTATTACTTTTTTTCAGTAGAGTCACTGTTAATCCTATACTTCTAACCAGCAACCAAGGGACATTTGCTGATCAAATGACAACGGTTCGAGAAGTGATTGAATATATTCGACCAGAACGTGTGACTATTTTGAATGCACAAGAACAGGAACGTTTGAAGGACTTGGAGGAAATGCAGTCAGGAAAACCTTATCAAATTACAATTAAACCACTCTCTGGTCAGACACTCACACTCACTGTCAATGGGAATACAACGGCCGAGGAACTCGGAGCACAGATTGAAAGCCAATGGAATCTTCCGTCGGATAGACAAAAACTACTTTTCTCTGGTCGATCGGTACACACCGCGGCTTATTCGGGTTTTGATACATCATTAACTCTTACTCACTACAACATCAAGAAGGATTCAATTCTAAATATTATATGGCGTAATCCGAAATAAACATAATTTAATATCTTGTCTGAAAATAAACAAGAGTCAGAATCTTTTGACGATGGGCTATTTATCTTGAGAATGTTCAGGGGAGAGTATGGGTGTGGGTGTAGGTGTGGGTGAGGATGTGAGTGTGAGTGAAGAAGAGAGACACCCACACTCATACCCACCCACGCCCACACCCACACCCACACCCACACCCTCAAGATGATTAAGTAAAATCAAGATGCATCATACTTTTCTTGAGTTGCTTCTTTGTAAAGCCATTCTCAAATTTTATCATCAAAAAGAACTGCAAGTATTATGTGATCACACTTATGGCCTGTTTATTTTATGGAAAAAAGCGATACAATAAAGTAGCATTGAGAGTCTCTGAAGTTTTGAAAAAAATTATTTTTTTTTAATATTGTTTAAACATTGACAATAAGAAAAAGCATCACTAATATATAAAGCACGAGTACCACTACCACAACAATCACCATCACGATATAAAGCAGGAGCACCACAATCTCTACAGGAATAAGTGTAACCAAAATCAATATGACCACCGTGATAAACATGTTGACGATCATAATAATAATCAAACCGGCCACGACATGTGGAACCTTCACGCTTCGTAAAACACTCCGGATATTTGCCATCGTCCCATCGCTTCCGTTCATTTTCATTCCAACTCTTCACATTTGTTATCCATTTCCATATTTCTTGGTCACCCGTATAGTACCAGTCACGACATTTGCCGCAATTAGCACAAGCACGACCATTGCAAGCTGGCCGTGTATAAGTGTTTGAAGCAGCAAATTCTAAACAGAAGTTTTAAATATCTCATGTAATGACAATTAAATTAGTGAACGAGTTATCATTCTCCGTCTACTAAGAAGGTATCTTCGATTTTGTCTGACAGTTTTCTAACATCTTTAAACAATTTAGTTGAAAGAACAAGTCATATCTTTGATAAAATAACGTTTACAAAATAGCTACCTGTAACACATGCTTGATCGAGAAGACTTTTGATTTTGATTTCTAACTGATCAATTTCATCAATGCAATATTGAACGTTTGTTGATAGCTCGAGTCCGGATACTTGGTTTATAAATTGCTGTACGAACGTTTTCAATCTAATATTATTTTCCATTAACTGGGCGGTATTTTTAGTAGAAACCATTTGTTCGAATAGTTCATTTTTCTTTGAAAGCAACTGTTGTCTACTTTCAATTGATTCCAGATGTTCATCTACTGCAGGTTTTTTCTTTTGTTCAATCGCACGAACCTGCTTTTTCAAATTGTTCTCCTGGTTATCAATCAGTTTTCGTAATTTTTCGAAAGTTGTTGTAATTTTCTGTATATTAACATTCTTATCGACATCCATTAATTCATTCACCTTATCTGTTTTTTTTCTTCAAATCTTCTTGTGCCTTCCCAAATAAATTTCTTAACTAATTATACAATATGATTTAGTTTTATCGTATTCTGCTAATTCTGATGCAATACTCACATCTTTGACTGTTTCGGATGCAACATCATCGATCGCAGTAGAAGTATCATTCTTGCGCTTTTTACAAGATGGATCTTCATATGAATCTAACCTTTGTTTACTGGCCGTCGATTTATGTTGAGAAAGTTCCTTCCCTTGATGTTTAGCAGAACATTCTTCACAGATCCCGCACTGACAATCTTTGCACAAACAATCAGCCATTTTGGACGAGCACTTATTGTAACTAGACTCAACTAAAATGAAGAACACACAAAATCATAACAATATGTTCGAAATAGGGGTGTTATGTTATCTCTACTTTGTAAAATAACGAAAACGAGAATCGCTATCTTTATAGAATATTTTTTCTGAAGTCAGTTAGGCAGTAGAGAAGGTGATAAACATTTTCCAACGATCGCAAATCTACTGTTTCACCATTGTTTTGAGGGTGTGGGTGACTGATAAACAGAATATATTCACACCCACACCCTATTCTTTTCACGTGGATTTAGTGCAGTCTTATATTTTAGTCTTAACTAAATCGGGTAGCATAAGAGAATTGTTTTGAACACCATGCAAATTTTTGCATATTTTCATCTGTTTTATCCGCTGCAGAGAGATTGATCATAGCTGATATAGTTAGTGCGATAAAGTCCTCTTACATTTTCTATTAAGCTAGTTCATGATTTTGCTAAATAAATATCATGTCAAAGAGATTTTAAAAAAGAAGTATTTAGTTGATGACAGCATAATCAAGATTTAATGAGTGAGAAAAATAACGCGCGCAAGACATAAATGAAAGAATACTTTGCGTATAGTATAGTGGCTAAGAGCGTCTACATACCACTCAATTATTCACGGACTCAACTGATCGAGTATTCAAGTATTTATCTAATCAACCTTTTTGTTACCGTTTCACTCAACGGAAACTTTAAGCGTCGCAGTATTCAATTATCTAGCTTTTTGACTTTTCCATTGATCACATTCGCAAAGTTTTAGTGTGATTATTATAATTTGAAATTAATATCATAGCCTGAAACGTTTTAGTTGTGGTTATTTATAATAATTATGAAATTATTCCTTTCGCCGTTACGTTACGAGATGTAGTTAAGACATTATTGTCTTCACACTCTTTCTTGCGCTAAATCCTAAACTCTGCAAGGTACTCAATGTGGTGAAGTAGATTATTTCTTTTAGACTGACGCTAAGGTATATGAAGATGAGACTGTCTGCCTCACTATTACTATCACGACTAGTTGAGAACTCTACTGAATCGATAAGCTCTCGAATTCATCTTCGATCTCTACGTATATCCGCTGAAAGACAAACAAATAACGTCACACTTACTACTTACTACTGAGTTTTGAAATAATTTTCTTCCCGATATTGAGAATGTAAGAACGATAATAGACTGGAGTAAAAAGAAATAA